TGTTGTTGTTGTTGTTTCTTAACTCTTTTTTTTTGCTACTCTTTCTTCGTCTGTTTTTGTTTGCTGCGGTTAACGTTGACTCCGTTGTTGTTGCTGTTGTTGTTGTCGCATTGGCCGCAGCATGCGTTTTGATTGCAGTCGCTGCTGTTGTTGTGATTGTTGTTGGCCGTGTTGCCTTCTTTTTTCATGCCATTTAAGTCTTATTTATGGTTCTCGTTGATGATCGTGTTGATGGTCGTACTGTTTTTTTCCTTTTCCTTTTTGTATTTTCCTTCTTTCTGTTGTTGTTTTTGCTGATCGTTGTTTATGGTCGATTTTTGGTCTTTTTAAGTGCCCTGAAATGCGTGTGCGAGGGAGTTACGAGCATGAAAGATCCGTGAAGGTGAACAGTATGATCCCCAAAGGTCCAGGTAGAAGTATGTCCTTTTGTGGTAAGCCCGGATTAGCGACAGCCACAGAGAAAGGAGAGAGTGAGAGAGAAGTAGGGCCGCTCATAAGGCTATTTAATGCAGCCTTTTAAATAGCACAGTTAAGTATTCACACTTTAATGAAAATCACATAGGAAGGCGATAAAGAGAAGTAACTAATTGTGGGAGCGCGGCTGAGAGAAACAACTAAAGATTTTAAGATAGAGGAAGAGGGAGGAAGATAACGAGGGAAAGAGAAGAGCGACTGAGAAAGGAAAGAGAGAGAGAGAGAGAGAGAGAGAGAGAGTGAGTAAGAGAGAGAGAGAGAGAGGGAGGGAGAGAGAGAGAGAGAGAGAGAGAGAGAGAGAGAGAGAGAGAGAGCTAACAAAGAGATTACGTGCATTGTACAGGGTATTTCTTAGTCGATCAGTTTCAGTTGTTGGCGTAACGTATAAGATTTCGCTTGCATTTGATTTGTTTTTCTTTGACAGTGCAAGCGCTGAAAATCAATTACAGAAACCTTTTGCTGTTCGGCTTCAATGGGCACGTTAATTCGTGAAAAATGTATTTATTTTCCTTTATAAGTACATATGGTTGCATGCAGCGTTTTTCAGGTTTTCGTTTTGTTTTCGCCGCCGAGCCATTCGAAAGAGTTTTCATAGTGCTCCGGCTCTGGGTCTGGGCCTACGGCTCGGGTCAGCGTCAGGGGCCGGTTTTTCTTTTGCTTTTTCTTTTTCTGTCTTATTTTTATATTTTTTTGTATATTTTTTTTATTTTGGGGTCTGGGTCTCTGGGCATGACAAAGGATTGTGCGGCAGACCGTCAGCGGAAAAGTGCAATAAATTGTACAATGCTTTTTGTTTAGCTGTCGAATCCGTTCAATGATTTCTCTATATAGATTTTTAACCAGCCATAGGCCATGGGCATGGAACTGCCAGGCCTTCCTCCACTCTCGATCTTTATTTATGTGTTTATGTGTGTGTCAATCGGCTTAAAATGCTCTTTAAGTTCAGGAAGTTGCAGTTCGTACTTCCCCTTCGCTTTTGTCTCAGCTCTTAACGCTTCGTGAGCACTTCAAATTTGTTCTCCATATGAACAGAAAATACCAAATGAGAGTTGAGACTGAGTCCATATGAACAGAAAATACCGAATGAGAGTTGAAACTGAACAGAAAATACCAAATGAGAGTTGAAACTAAGTCCATATTAACAGAAAATACCAAATGAGAGTTGAAACTGAACAGAAAATACCAAATGAGAGTTGAAACTGAGTCCATATGAACAGAAAATACCAAATGAGAGTTAAAACTGAACAGAAAATACCAAATGAGAGTTGAGACTGAGTCCATATGAACAGAAAATACCGAATGAGAGTTGAAACTGAACAGAAAATACCAAATGAGAGTTAAAACTGAGTCCATATGAACAGAAAATACCAAATGAGAGTTGAAACTGAACAGAAAATACCAAATGAGAGATGAAACTAAGTCATTTATAATTTACCTAGTAATTTACTAAATAAATAAATGCAAGGGCCTATTTAGCTGATTCCATAATTATTCCCACTCTGCCTGGTTGTATTTGGAATTTTTCTTAATTTTTGATTAATTTAATTTGGTTTCGAAATTTCCAGAGAGAAAGAGTTAGAGAGAGAAAGAGAGAAAGAGAAGGAGAGATAATACTTATATGTAGATTATCTTATCTTTTTGCACTATTAGGCATTTTGGTTTTATATTTCAGAATTGTTTTTGGATTTCTATGTGAACTTCTTTTAAAGATATATTATATAGATATCTGAAAGATAACGCATATGAGGAACAGGAAATAGGGAAATGGACCAGGCTGAGTTACTCTGAGACTCCCAGAACTGGACTCCACTCCCAGCCCAGACTGAACAACAGACGAATAACAGATGAATTTATGAGATCATGTTTGGAGTTAATTATGCCAAGGCATAAATTTCACGTCTCGGTCAGACAGGCGGACAGACGGAGAGACGGACGGACAGACGCGGGTTGGTCGTGTGCTGGAGTGCAAATGTACTTGGTCTCCTCGATTCGTGGAGCTGTCGAGATTGTTTTTTTTTTTGCACGTTTCACCAATCATAATAGTTTTTATCTTAAGAGCCATAAGCATGTGCATAAAAAATATATTTAAGACCAAAACAAAAAACAAAAAAAAAGAGGGAAACAACAACAAGAACGTGTTGTCAAACTAGTTGCTAGACCTAGGTTAGTTCTCGGCTCAGACTGAGATAAAGTCTAAGCCATGGTCTGAGACCTGTTTCTTGACTTAGATTCGTTTCATGTTTATGGTGTTTGGGCCAAGACAACCGAAGTGGTTGGGCCAGCCAAACAACAAAGCGTCTGTCCCAAAGTCCAAGCGCTGTTGTTTACGAACAAGAAGTTTTATGGCAATGGATGTGGTTTGTGGTTTAACTGCTTTTATGGTAACAAAAATATACAAAAAAAAACCAAATAAAATAAAAATAAAACCAAAACAAAAATAAAAGCAAAGCATAACAGCTCATAATATACGACTAGAAAACACCCAGTATCTGTATAAAACCACATAACAAATTTGCTGATTGCGACTTTCATGTTTTTAGAGTTCCTTGAGTACCTTTTATAGAAGAAAAGCTTTGGATGAATTCAAGGAAATTACTTAGAAAATATGCGGAGAGTCCACATACAAAATTTACTGGGCGTAGCTCATGTGCTCTTTGAGTTCCTTGAGTTAAGAGGAGCTGAGTAATTCTTATAAAGTCAAAACTATTGACGCATTTCAAAAATTTACTTAGATTAATTGTTTCAAGAGCACACATACCAAATTTGATGAGTCTAGCTCTTATGGTCTTTTAGTTCTTTGAGTTAAGATTAGTTTGGTAATTGAATGAATTCAAAGAAATTACTTAGAAATTGTATGTAGAGCCCACATACCAAATTAAATGAGGCCTATGAGTTCCTTGAGTTAAGATGCAACTCTAATAAGTCCGAGTTTCTTAAGATGTTTATGGTTATTTTGACGAGACTGTTTAACAATAAAGCTATATTATTCGCTCTCACATATTCGGTTAAATACAGGGTATTAAAATAAGAAAAGAGTATTTTTTAACAAAAAAAAAATAAAAATCGACAGCAACAACGGGCAACGGGCAACAGGCAACAACTTTGGTTAAAAAGTCATCAAAGACCAAAACGTCAACAACGACAACAACAACAACAACAACAACAACAACAACGACAGTCGCGCAGTCACGATGTTGGGTTGGTCGGTCAGACGTTTGGTTGTTTGGTTGGTTGTTGGGTTGTTGGGTAGGTTTGTTGTTTTCGTTTGCTCGAAACCAGTTTGGGCTTCAGGTCTAAACTTTATTTACAATATTGTTTTCTTTTACGACGTCGCTGCTGGCTGCGATTTCGTCGTCGCCGCCGTCGTCGTCGTTGTTGTTGTGGTTTTGACCCAAGCTCCTTTTTGTAATAAAGAAACTGGTATACCAACTAGTCGTACTTATAGCAACTGCCGCAGTCCCTCGGCTGCAGCCTCAGCCTCAAGCTCACGACAATGTAGCCAATTTGATGTGCATCTCGAAGAAGCTGGAGCCATGTTTAGGAAGCCCCCTTTTTCCTAAAACGCAGCTGACAATGGAGCTGGGATTGGTCTTTGGGTGTTGATTGGTCCCGTGCGGTTTATCAATCATTAACAGACACCGAGTCGGTCGAGTCGGGTCGAGTCGGGCCGAGACGACCATATACTCATAAAAACCGTTGCCTAAATGCCCGACTTGGCCTCTAAAAGGCCATCACATTATACAGATGCCGTCTTTCAGATTTACAAATGGTGGTACATAAAAAAGAACTAAAAAAAAAAAAATAGTACTGAAATTTTCGAATGGTCATAACTTTTTACGAGTACAGCTCCGGCTTATTGTCAGATGAGTTAGAAACGAGCGGAGCGCAATTTGCCGGCTTATTTGATTAGATACTTTGGCTCGGTGCTCCAGGCAATAGGAAACTCAAGTTTCTTCCTCTTCTGTTTTAGGCAATCTGTCAGTAGTCTGATTTGCTCATTATTATTCTTGCTTTTTAATCCCAATGAATTGTCTCTAAGCTTTTCTATGTGCCAGCTTACATTACTACAGCAATTATATCAGCAAGAATTTACAATATATGCCACGTGATTTGGGAGAATTCCACCCGTAGCAGTGAAAAATTGTTGTTGGGAGAGAGGTGGAATACGGGTAAAAACGGTTCGTACAAAAATCTTAAGTAATTCAACCTATTAGTAGTCTAGATGTTTGTTCTTCTGCCATCCTGTTCCACATCGCAGCAATCTTAAATTAATCTTCTCTTCTTGTCCGCCTTGCATTTGTTAAAAGCATGTCGGAAAGTTAACTGTGAATTGGGACAAGGTATTGGCGGAACCAACCCTTGATGCCTTGATGCCAGGGCCAGTGCCAATTTCTTATCCGAGGAACCGCAGCTGAATGTCAATAGCTTAACCAAAGGCCAGGGGAGAGAAGAGAGAGAGAAGGGAGCATAATTTGCTTTGCTTAGTTTTTGCTACGTTTCGGTATTTTTATTACAATTTCTGTTAGTTAGTTCGGTGCGACAAGGATAAGCAGAAGGTTCGCATCCTCCTTGCGGACCCACTCAAATGCGGGCTGTGGTTCGAGCGACCAAAGCAATGTAACATGCCAAATGTGTCCTGGAATTTAATTAAACATTTTCTGCGCTTATTCGTGTATACATTCACCCGGGACTCCAAGTGCCCATCCTGGTACTGGCCACAGCTCCGCCCTCTGGCCAACTAAGTTAGCCCCCCCCCCCCCCCCACGCTTCCCGCGCACACAGCCAGAAGTGTTCCAAAGAATCGGAGGGTTGGCTTTTGGCCATTGATGCCAAGCCCCGCTGTCTGCTCCGGGACAAGTTCGACTCTGTGATGTGGGCTATGGGTAGGGAGGGGGGAAGGTTATTGACATATTTTAACAACTATTTGCAAAAGGCTTTAGTTTCACTTCAATTCCGTTTCCAGTTGGCCTCCCATGGCCCAGTCCGGGGCTCCTTTCTTATTTCCTACGCATAATTGAAACAAGTGCATAATGTCTTTATCCAGTAGGTCCTTCAGCTCCGTTTGTTTGTCTGTTTGCTGCCATGTTTAAATGTCCTCGCGGCATCAATATTTGTTTCCCGGCAAATATTTGGCATTTGGCATGTAAATAAAGTTATTTAAATTACTTTATGAAGGGCCAAAATAAAATAGAAAACCAAAAAAAAAAAATATAACAAAAACAAAAAGAATTGCAATATTTGAAGCATCGCCTGTTTGCACTGGGCAAACAGTTTGGAACTTCAGCTGGCTTCTGGCAGAAACGAGAGTTGAAGGAGAGAGGGACGGCTGCCTTATTGAAATTTAACCTTTTTAGCTTCGCCGGACATTGACCAAAGTTTGTTCCCAGTTCGAAAATTGAATTAGTCAGAACAGACTTTTTTCTTATTGTTTCCAAAGAGTTTACTTTCCATGGGCCACAGCTGATTCAAAGAATTTCTATCGACAGTGGGGGACTGAACCGGAGAGAGTGGTATCGATATTTTCGATAGTTGTATCGATAGTTCGCCTACATACATACATATGTATGAAATACATGAGTTTTGTTAACGAAGAGAGTCTATCAATTACAAAAAAGTTTGCGTTCGCTCTCTCGCTCTCTCTTTCCACAAATCTCTCTGACTGAGCCAGAGAGCGTGCTATCGATATTTTCGACCGCCGCATCGATAGTTCACCCACATACATATGTATGTATACATGTATGTACATAATGTTAACGAAGAGAATCGATCAGAAATTACAAAAAAAAAAACTGTTTTGCGTTCGCTCTCTCTCACTCTCTTTTGGCATAAATCTTTTCCTAGCCGCAAAGCAAGTCAGCTGTCGACTCTCGCATACATCTGCATACGAATTCGCCTTCATTTTACGCTTAGCGCAATCAAATAAGCACTGCGAATGACAGCATAAAACGGACAGCGCAAACGTTTGCACAAACAACAAACGTTGCTGGGCATCGTTTCATATTGTTGCTGTTGTTGTTGGCCACTCTCTCTCTGTCTCCATCTCGCTCGCACACTCATTAGGCATGTTGCTGCTGCTGCTCGCCACATTTTGCATTTTGCGCATGCAAGCTTGTGCTCAGCACAGCCCACATTTTTGAGTATTCAGTGCTGCGCGCGAGTTCGAGCTGTGGACGTTGGACTGGTCTGACGTTGTCCGAATCAAATCCTAAGCAAGATTCGGCTGGAAATTGAGCATGAACTCTCGCGATAGACAGTTCTGGACGGAATTCCTGGAGCTCTATCGATCATTGCCGGCGGTATGGAAGGTCAAGAGTCCGGAGTACAGCAGCCGGGCCTTGAAGTCCGCCGGCTACGAGCAGCTGGTGCACAAGCTGCGCGAGGTGGAGCCGCACGCTGATCGCGCTCTGGTGGTCAAGAAAATCAATTCGTTCCGTACAAACTTTCGGCGGGATTTGCGCAAACGTGATCAGTGCACCGAAGAGGAGCCATTCGTGTCGACTCTGTGGTACTTTGAGCTCCTAGGCTTCTTAGAGGGACAAGAGGATGCCAGCTCATGCCAGAGCTTGCACAAGGCCAGCAGTCCAGAGCCAGAAGCTCATCCCGAAGCTTTGGTAATTAAACTCTTGGAGCTTTATCTTTTTCCTCCTTCCCTCTCTCTCTTACACACATTTCCTTAACCGTAGCGCCACACCGCTTACGACGAGCCGCGTCGTAACAAGCGCCGCACGGCGGTTAAGGTAGAGTTAGCTGCATCTCCCGCACCTGCCGAACTGCGTTCCGGCTTGCACTCGCCCGCTTCTCCCCTCACCCTGCCTTGCAGACAGCAGCGCAAGCGTTTGTCCACGCTCTGCGAATCGGAGGCACTCGCCCACACTTGGCGCAGCCAATTCGACGAGCTGGCGCCCCGGCAGAAGCTTCTAGCCCGCAAGCTCATCTCAGACGTACTCTACTACGGCTGCGTGGAGCAACTGGAGCCGTGTCATGTTGCCCAGCTGCAGCAGATGATGCTGCGTCGCAGCTCAACGCCGCACATTGAGGATGTTCCGCCTTCGCCGCATCTCGGCAAGCTGTACTCCTTGGACAGATATGATGAGCGCAAGTCTGGGGATTCGGATGGGTAGGGCAGGTGTCAGAGACGGTCCTTTTATTAATGCAACCCTAAATTACGTTAGCCTTAAATTTTTATATATATTCAGATGCATATGTAAATGTGTACTTACCCAATATTTAAAGACATAAACACGATTATTTTAATGCATTTTTTTTGTTGGACGGATGAAACTGAAAGAAAAAGACAAGTAGAGAGCGGATTAGAGTAAGAGTATGAGAAGCACGAGAAAAAATAGCGATTAATAGAAAGAGAGAGAGAGAGGGAGTGAAAGAGGGGAATATTAATTCAGAAAAAGAGAGAAGGAAAGAAACATTCAGAGCGAGAAGGAGAGAAAGAGAGAGAGAGAGAGAAAGAAAGCTAGGGAAATAGAGAGATGATATTAGCGTGGGCTGACCCAAGTTAATACAACACTTACTATAAAAGCATGAACGCTTGTAATTACTTCAATTCATGAGAATCGCATAGTAGAGCGACAACCTGAAATACGTTTTTCTTTTGATTTGTTGCGCTATGGGAGGAAAAAAGCTTGGAATTAGAGAACAAACCTGACAGATATATATAAATATGTACATATAGAAACATATGTGCAAACTACAGGGTATCTCCTTTTTCGACATTCTCGACTAGCGCATTTTAATTTGTTTTGGTTTAATGAATTACTTAATCTTTTACAATCGGAGACAGAAATGGAATTGCCTGATAAGATAAGATATTTGAATATTTGAATAGTCATTAGGCGTCAAACAAGCAATACAGAAACTCAGCTAAAAATTGTAATCTGAATAAGAATTCCAGGCAAATGCCGACATAGGGCAAAGTCGAAGCCATAGGGCAGGAAATGAATGAATAAATAAATGAATGTGCTTGATAGGAAAACAAATTAAGAACGTTTATTGGCAACATTAAAACTTGGTCAATTCGATTGAAAAACTTGCGCGAAAACCAGAAAAACCAATTGGAAGATTCCGCTCCAAAAATAAAATGACACTTTTGCACAATATCTACGACTAACAAAAATAAAATGCAAATTTATTGGCATTTAATTTGCTAGAGAGGGGGGCGGACAGAGCGAGAGAGAAACTGAGCATTGCCCGCATTCAGCTCAAATATACCCCGCACTCCAAAACGGTACTTGACGAAAAAAAAACAAACCAAACCCAGACCCCCATAATGTGCACAAGCTTACAACAACAACACAAGCAGAAGAAGAAGCAGAAGTAGGGAAGCAAGAACAAAAGGAAGAACCACAACAACAAATTCGGCATATAAACGAGCGCATAATGAGCTCAGTTGAGCCTTCCGCAATGCTTCAGATGGATGGATGGCAGCGGACAGAGAGAGAGGGAGAGCGAGAGCGAGAGAGAGTGAGAGCGAGAGTGGAAATCGCATTAAATGCCTAAAAATAGTAGCTGCAAACATTGCGCTCATATATTAAACACGCCCAGCCCCGAGCTCGCCCAGTTCCAGTTCCAGTTCCGCAGTCGAACCCAGAACCCAGAACCCAGGGCCATAAGTAACAGCCCGTCGATGGTGCTGCCTTTTTTATGTCCCTCGCTCTCTCTCGCTCACTCTCTCTCTCTCCCTCTCTGTGCATATCATGCAATTACTTTCCACTCAAATGTCAATTTAAATTGAAGTTTTATGCAAAAACCATACTTGAAACTTTGCGCCTGCTTTGCCCATCCTTGGATCGCTCAAAGAACAATACGCCGCATGGCAACTCAATCTGACACGCCGCCCCTGCCCCCCTCCCCCTCTGTTTTTTCATTGCTTCTAAATTTCAATCCCGCTCTTGTTCATTTCCGGAACAGGCTGCTGTGTGCCTGAGATTGAGTCTGGATGTGGATGTGGGTCTGGGTGTGGGGGGCAATGCCAGCTCGTGTTTGTGTTCAGCTTTTTATGTGTTAGATGCACATTTCGGAAATTAAGTTGAAATTTATTAGCACATCTTTGTCGTCGAATTACATGGATTGGTTTTTTCGCAGCTCCAAGGCAATTTCAAGTTCCTCCAGTTGGACAGCAACGAATTTGAAGAGCCCCTCAACATGCTTAGAGCGTTGCCAGATCTTTAATAAATAGATCTATCTGTAAGTTGACGATTATCAATCTTTGTTCTAGATAAATAATATTGAGAGCTAAGATCTAGAGCTCAGATGTTTATCTAATTATATATACTATATATACCAAGGCTGCAAGCCGGTTCGAACTTGAAATTTCTATTCTAACTATAAGTCGAACAAAAAACAGTTAAGATCATTTTTATATATTTCATAAGCCAAGTTTACGAATCAAACTCAAAGGCGGGAAGCTGGTTTTTATTTCTTTTTGACGATTCGATATAGATATAGATAGAAAAATATAGTTGTCTGCTTATTCTCATTCTACAACAACTATACAACTCTTTAGTCTCTTCAGATATATCCGAGTTAGTTTTAATTGGCAGCTGAATTGTGCAGTCAACCGATATGCCCGACCATATCGAACGTAGCGCTACTATAGCGCTGTTAAATGTATCTGAAGGACCCTCAATGGGGATATACACACTGCTATTTATTTGCACACGCAAACACACACACACACACACACACACACACACACAGAGAGAGACGCAAGCACACTCCACATATGCAGACGTGTGTGTGGGCACTCGATTTCCATTTGGTTGAGTATTAGTGCCTCAATATTACACAATTTCGAATCGCATCAAATCGTTAAAAGTTTCGATTACACAACGCGTTTTACAATTGCCATCGGAATGGGATATGGATCAGGGCGGAAAACAACCACAATTTAGAGTGGGAAAAGCAGGGGAAGTTCCCTCTGTGTGTGTGAGTGCTAAAACAAATATTGAAAGTGGCATTAAAAAAAAAAAAAAAACTTTAGCCAACGCTGATTTTATTGCTGTGAATTTGCGCTCAAATGGCAAATCAATGTGTTTCCTTCTGCCAGTCAATTTTATGGTTGTATTGTTTCATATATCCTGTGCTAGGGAAACGCCCCGACCACATTGTGATATACTGAACGGAAGCTGAATACACTGGCCAGCTGACAGGGAGCAAACGTTCGCCTGAAATTAAATGTTACTCTACAGGCAGCAAAGCGTTTGCGGACGCAGCACAAAGCAGAACAACAAAAAACTCACACGAGACAGATAGAGTGCTTTTTACTAGAAAATAAATTATGGTATATGTGCAAAATGATTTGAACAAGTGACTGTTTTCATACAACTTTGTATAAGTCCTTAATCGAAAAAGAGTTTTATATGCTGCAGGCAGCAAAACGTTTGCGGACGCAACACAAAGCAGAACAACAAAACACTCACGCGAGCGCGTGACAAAGAGAGAGAGAGAGGGTGCTAGACTTTTTACTGGCGAATAAATTATGGTATATGTGCAAAATGATTTGAACAAGTGACTGTTTTAATACTACTTTGTATAGGACCTTGCACCCTTCCACCTCGCATAGGCAACCGTTGGCCGTACACGCACGTAGCTCTACCGGGCCCGGGTTCGGGCACCCGGTATTCCCATTAACGGTTCGTCGTAATTTTTAATGCCAGCGCTTTTAACGCAACGCGTTGATGTTTTATCACACCCCCGCCCACGGCCCCCGCAAATGGCAACAAACTATGCATATAACAAAAAAATTTTTACTACTTTGTATTCCCAGCCCTTTGACG